TGGTGGGAACAGATTATGCAGAGAGCAGCGCTCCCAATCCTGAAAGATGGAAATGGCCTTAGAAACTGTTAATCTTCTTACTGTTTGTAGCAACAGGGGCTCATCCAGTGTCTATAAGCACCTCAAGGGAGGCAGTGAGGAGGATGGTTCTGGCCTCTTTTCAATGGTGGCCACTGATAAAAATAGAGGAAATGTCCAGAAACTAAAGCTTCAAAAGTTCCACAGGAACTTAAGGAAAAAATTCTTAACAGTGAGGATGCCAGAGCACTGGAACAGTCTGCCCAGAGAGGTTGTGGAGTCTCCTTCTGTGGAGATTTTCAAAACCTGCTTGGACGCAGCCCTGTGCCACGTGCTCTAGGTGACCCTGCATGTGACCAGATGGACTAGATGACCTCTAGAGGTCCCTTTCAGCCCTAAGCATTCTGTGATTCCATGATCCTGACTGTTGCAGCTGGCCCTACCTGGCCCCGTGTGTTTCAGAATGAAGTTCTCGTCATCAAACTTCTTCCCGTAGATGGATTTGCCTCCAGTGCCGTTGTGGTTGGTGAAGTCTCCAGCCTGACACATGAACTGGGGGATGATGCGGTGGAAGCTGCTCCCTTTGAAGCCAAAGCCTTTCTCGTGGGTGCAGAGGCAGCGGAAATTCTCTGTTGGAAGAGGGGAGAGGTGAGAGCCCTGCGGCCCCGCGAAGCGACGGCCCCACAGAAGCCGCCCCTCTCCTCACCCACGGTCATGGGCACCACGTCCGAGCGCAGGAGGATCTGGAGCCGCCCGGCAGGTTTGTTGCCAATCTTGATGTCCATGTAAACCCGGGGGTTGGCTCGGGCTTTCTTAGCAGGAGGTTCGCCCTGGGCAGGGAAAGGGAAAAACAACTTTTCCTGTGTTCTCCCTCCAGAGATGGCCGGCCTCGAGCTCTCAGCCTTCAGCATGACCCAAACGGAGGTGGTGATGGCTTTAAAACTCCCCCACAGAAGTGAGCAGCAACAGCCTAACACCAACAGGGCACAAAACTGCAGAACCTTTGTGGGTCACTGAATTTCTGGGGACACTGGCTCTGCCCAGGGCTGCCACTCACTCTTGGCTCCGTGTTTCTGAGAGCTCACAAGATCTGGAGGTATCTGAGATAATGATTTATCCACCCCACAAGGCCATTCAAGGAGCATGGGGGGAGCAGCTCCAGCTACTGTTCCCTCCTCTGCATAGAGGAGACCCCCGTGCTCTGGCTCAATTCTTTCTCCTACCTCCTGCGTTTCTGGTTTGGGGGCTGCTGCTCCCCCTTCCTCTGTGTTCTCCTCCAGAGTCTTCCCTGAAAACCTCTTCAGCCACTCGTCATCCGACCAGACTGTGGAAGCAAAACGAAGGGTCAGGGAGGGGACGGGGGCTCACGACCTCTCACCGCCTTTGGTCTCCATCTCCATCAACTCACCAGGCCTGGACGATCCTTCTTTAACCCGCATCGGCTTGGCCAAGTTCACACGGATCGTCCTGCCAAAGAGCTCAGATTCATTCTGTAGAAGGAAAAAAAAAAAAAGCCCACCAAAAGGTAAAAAATTGTTTTCCTTCCCAAAAAACCCTGCAGAGGTCAAAGAAACAGAGCTTCCTTCCTCTCCCTTCTCCCACTTTTGGAGCAAGGGCCCCAGACCTTGCAAGTAGACCCCTGGTAGCAACAAACGTGATCAAAGCAGGGACAAGCAGGGGACAAAGGCCCCGGTCCACAGCAGCACTCGAGCCCTGGTCCTTGCACCCACCCCATTTTGCAGACAGCTTTGGCTGCCACTAAACTTTGCTTGAGGTTGGGTTTGGGGTGATTCTCGCTTGTCCCCCACGGCAGCTGCTGCCGCACTCCCCGTCCTGGGAACGGGCCATCTCGGGCACAGAGAGGTGGGACGGGAGCCTAAGGGGGATTTCTGAGCCTTGCTCCTACTAGGAAGACGGTGAAGCCCCACGCTGCGAGGAGCAGAGCAGCAGTTGTGCTTCCCAGGACCACGCTCGGGTGGGAGCAGGGACTGTACCATGTTGTCGATAGCTGCAGCAGCATCCTGTGCAAAGAGGAAAAAAAATATATATTATTGCCATTTCTTCACTTCTTTCTACCCGAGTTACTTGATCCCCTACACCAATATCTGCGAGAGGAGGAGACAGATCTCACCTAATGAAGCCCTGGATATGCCAAGACTCCCCATGCTCCAACCCACCAGACAAAGCCACCCACAGCTGCTGAAGACAACTGAGCTCTGGGGCAGCAGGGGAGGGTTTGGAAGCAGCAGTGGCTTCGCTTCAGCCCAAAAGAAAACAGGAAAACTGGGAGCTTGCAAGACAGAGAGGCAACTTGGCTTCAGTTGCGTCTGCTTAAATCAACAAGACTTCTGCTGCCTTCAACCAGAGCAGGAGCTAGTCCAAAATGCCCAGAGGAAGAAGAAGAAATTCCCAATGGTATCTGCCCCTTTCTCACCTCTGCCAGCTCAAACTCAACAAAGGCAAATCCTCGGTGCTTCTCTGCGGAGAAAAGGAGCAGTCACAGGGAGCAGGGATGGAGAGAGCCTGGGAATGATGCGGGAGCCCAGGGTGAGAGGAGGGGACCCAGGGGGGTGGCCGGGAGTCCTGGGAGCCGGCGGCAGAGCCAGGATGAAGCGGTGAGCCCTGGGATAAGGTGGGAGGCTCCGGGAGGAAGGGATGAGCCCCAGGATGAGGAGAGGAGCCTGGGGATGAGGTGGCCAGTCCCGAGATGAAGTGCTGAGCCCCACGGTGATGAGTCCCAGGGCCAGGCTGAGAGCCCTGGGATGGAGTGGGGAACCCTTAGGGCCACCAGCAAGCCCTGGGGTGACACCAGGAGCCCCGGACAAAGTCGCAAGCCCCCGGGCCAGCCCAGCAGCCCCATGGGGCACCCCCTTCACCCCGGCGGGCACGGGGAGCCCCCCGCTCGCCGGCCACGCACCGGTCTCGTAGTCCAGCGGGATCTGGATGTCGGTGATGTCTCCGAAGGGGATGAAGGCCGCGTGCAGCACCTTCTCGTCCACCTCCTCGGCCAGGCCGCCTGCGGGAGCCGCGTTACCGGGCACCCCCTGCCCCGCTCCGGGGCTGCCCGGGGACGGTCCGACCCCCTCCCAGCTCCGCTTCCCGCCCCTCCGTTCCCTCCCCCTCCGCTTCCCACCGCTCCATTTCGCCCTGCTCCGCTCTGTTTCCTCCCGCTCCCTTTCCCGCCGCTCACCCACGTAGAGGACCCGCTTGGTGGCGGCCATCTTGCCTCCCGCCAGCCCCCGCGCGGCCTCCGCCCCGGCAGCGCTCGGCGGCTCCGCCCCGGGCCCCAGCGGCTTTTTTAATATTAAATAGCAATTAAATAGTAATTTAATGCTTTAATATAGCCCTGTTGTTGAGCAAGCCGCCGTGGCAGGGCGGTTTTAGGGCCCCACTGAGCCCAGCTTGTTTACAAAGCATTGAAGGAGCTCACCCCAACCACAGTCACCTTCTGGAGTGAAGAATACCAGTGTTCTGGGGAGAAGAATATTAAATTTTTATAAGAAGAGCCAAGTGGGATTTGCACTCCTCCAGGCCCAATAAATTGATCCAAAAAAGGCTGATGTGCCACTTGAAAAATACCTCTCACTGCTTCTGTGTCACCCAGTGCTTCAGAGTCACCCTCAACACCCTCAACCTGTGGCAGCTGCTCCAAAACAGGCCTTGTACAAAGTTAATGTGCCTAAAAATATCAAGTCGAATTAAGTCGGAATTAAGTGATAAAGTGATTTAACTTGATATTTTAATTATGGAGCAGCTGGTCACCCCTTCATTTGATGAATTAAGACCCTGTAGCTTACTCTAATGGAGAAGAAAATACAAGAGTACTGAGAGATTTTATTTCTTTATTGATAAATGCTTTCCAGACTTCCCAACCTGGATTGCTCAGTTAAAACCAAAATCACAAAAAATAAAATAAAACAACTTTCAATCAGAAATCCTCAATGTCCTGCTTAGAAAAGACAAAGGGTAACTCTGTCCTGACCCCAGAGAAGCTTGCAAACTTAATTCTGGTTTTGGAAATCTAGAGCTTCATGGAGTTGGCTTTTTAAATAATATTTTAAAGATTAATTTACAAAATGCAGTATAACTATGTGATATGATACATGGCATTGAAGTCTGCAGGACAGTGAAGAATCTTCAAACATCTTGAGCTGATGTCTATGAAGGGGTTATTTGGCTTCTTTGCATCCTGTAAGAAGAAAGAGAATGACATCCCCTGCACACACCGGTTTCGCAGCAGGTGAGTGAACAATCCAGCGTTAAGGACTCCAGTAAAACTTGCAAGGAAGAGAAGCTTTCCAGTTCTAGATAGCATCCATTGCTAATTCAATAAGACATTCAATTTTTCTAGTAGAGAAGCCAATTGCTGGAGCAACCCAGATCAACAATTTTAAAGAATTAAAAACCTTACACAGAAGTGAAATGAGAAGCAGCACCAGACACACACAGACATTCCTGACACTGATACTTTCATATATATAGCAGGCAGATGATTGTCAGGATAAGAAATTTGTGTTAGCAACCTACTTTAGCAGTCTACTTAGTCTTAAAGTCATTGGATCATCTTAGGTATCTTTTGCCTTTATTTCCTGGCTTAGGAGCTTCAGAAGCCTCATCTTATTATCCTTCCCTGGCATGTCAGCTACTAGGAAACACTTCAGAAACCCATGCAACACATTTCTGATGCTTAACTATGAGATCTTTAAGTGCACTTCTACAGCTCCTGCCTTAATTCTCAATCAGAAAAAAAAAGTGGTCTTTGAAAGAGTAGATTAAAAACAGTGCTGCACCTAGACTACACACAGGCTTCAAGACCGACTGCATTCACTAACAATAATGCTTTATTTACCTAGATTCTGGAAATGTAACTGAAGCTGAGAACTGGGACACTCACCAGTCTTCCTGGTTTAAGAGGTAGCAGCAACCACGCTCACCTTCTGGGCAGCTTCTTTCTTGGCTTGATGAGCCTGCAACACTGCAACGGCCTCCTCCACCTTGGTAGACAAGTTATCCAAGGGAGAGCTGTTAGCATGACCGAGGTGTCCCAGTCTATGTCCCCTCTGAAGGAAGAGGGCAATTTACCTTTGACCGAAGGGATTCTGGAGATTCTAGCATGTGCAGCAGCTCCGAGTTGTCAATCTCTAGCAGCATTCCTGTGATCTTCCCTGCGAGGCTGGGGTGCATAGCTTGAATCAGAGGGAACAAACGTTCCCCTAGAGCAAGAACAACAAACAGGGCAGTTCAGACAGGCCAGTTTTGATCAAGATGTTCTCCGAAAGCTGAGGGGATATCACAGGTCAGATGTGGTCTGTAAAAACAGGAGTTCCACTCACCCAGCATCTGTTTCTGCTCCTGAGGAGGGGCAGCAGCCGGAGGAGGAGCGGCAGCCAGCATGGAGGCTGTCAGTGGTTCCTGTCCCTGCACGTGTACTGCAGGCTGAGGTGCCTGCAGGAGGGCAGATGTGAGGAGTCAGGCACACACGCTCCAAATCCTGCTCTCAAAAACTAGATGTCACACGGTCAAAGTCTGAAAATATCCTGGGCTATAAAAATTGGACCTTCCACCCAGGCAAGTGCTACAGATAGAGAAAAGCACCCATGCCTGCTTTTTGTGCAGTGCAGTGTCCTGCTCTCAAAAACTAGATGTCACAGGGTCACAAAGTCTGAAGATATCCTGGGTTATAAAAATTGGACCTTCCACCCAGACAAGTGTCACGATAGAGAAAAGCATCCATGCCTGCTTTTTGTGCAGTGGTGTCTAGGGAGGCAAGTAGCAAAATTCTCACCATCAATGAGGACACAAAGACATGAGAGAATGAAAGCTAGCAAAAGTGTGACTAGACAGCCAGAAAGAACATCCTTACAGCAAATTATGGGTAAAAAGGGCTTAGAATAAGACAGATAAATCAATTATTGCCCCCAGCAGAGATATGTGAGCACAACTGCACTTTTTTTTTTTAAATATAATTACAGTTTCTTCTTGTCTGGGTTATAAAAAATAAAGTAGCTTGGAATTTCTGCAAAAATTTATTGTGTAAAACCTGCTGGGCTGCAGCTACCTGCACAGAGTTCACAGAGCAGAGCACTATTACCTGCAAAGGCTGGACGGCCGGGTGGGGGCTGCAGACACTGGACGCGTATTTATAAGGAGGAGCTGCCCGGGGAGCAGGGGCAGCCACGGGCGGACGAGGAGCTAAGTTCTGTGCAGCAGAAGCAACGCCTGAAAAGGAAGAGTAGGCCAGAATTTCACACCACAACAACATGCAGCAAGCAAATTGGGATGTCTGGCATTAACTATGCACTGCACGGTAATGCTGGTTTAGAAATTCTCCAAAAACCTATCGGTTTATTTAAAAAGAACTATCCTCTCCTGATTCTATACCTGCTTTTAAGGCATTTTCTGCCTATTCCCCAGAATAAAGTGCATTTGGATGCTTTATTCTGAACATAGAGCCATTTTCAGAGTGGTAAATGTTGCAGAGCTGTAGAGATGAGTTCCAGGTGAAAGAAAAGAAACCCGTCTGGATTTCCACTGCGTTGCTATAGCACCAACTGTCCCCAAAACCTGCACTGCACAGCAAGGAATAGGAAAGATTCAGGTGCTGTCACTGCCCTTGCTCAAAGTAACCTTCTCCTACCCATGTTTAACAGCTGTCTGCTGAAGTAAACGTCAGCTCTTAATAGCACCCTCCTTCCCCACGAGGAGGGAAGATCCTGGGAGCAGACTCCTTACCAACTCGCTGGGCAGCGGCCGGGAGGCCCCGGGAAGCCGGAGCGGTGCCGGCAGGGGCCAGGTGGCGCAGGGCCGGCCGTGGTCCCGACTGGCGCATGGCGTTCGTCATTCCCTGGAAGCCTGATGGAAGAAACGAGGGGAAATCCTCAGAACGGAGCTGACTGGTAATGAGGACAGTCAGCTACGAGCAGCAGGTTGGGGCTGCGAGCAAAGCCAGCTCACCTTGAGGTCTTCCCCCTTGCTGCCAGCGTGGGTTAGGTCTCATCTGTGTCATCTGGTTGGGTGCATAGTAAGTGGGTCTGCTCTGAGCCTGAAGAGAGACGAGACAAGCTCAGAGGGAGCACCTAAGTGAGTAACAAGCTTCTTTTCCAGCATGTTTTGGCAGTTGTTCCCAGGACTCACTCAATGCACCTAAGGGCAGCAGCTCAGAAGCCACAGAATTAACTCCACCAACCCTGCACCTCTCATTAGGAGCTGCTTGCCTGGCCATAGGCACAAGACAGGCTCAATGGGCTGCAGCTGAACCAAAGGTCCAAGCAGGGTTAGAGCACCCATAAAACCACTTTAACTCAGCTCTGCTTACCTGGGGCACAGCAGGCATGAAATAACCCCCAGCAGCAGGCTGAAACTGGTTAATGATTGTGTTGGCAGGCAGGGCTCTCATCCCAGCAATGCGTTGCATGTACTGATTGGTTAGATGAGCTTTTCGCTCCTCTTTCCTTTGTGCAAGAGCAACGTACAGTGGCTTCGAGCCCACGATTCGCCCGTTCATCTCGGTCACGGCTTTCGTAGCTTCCTCTGGAGAGGAGAAGCAGACAAAGCCAAATCCTTTGCTCCGTCCATCTTCCAGCATCACCTGCAGTAAACATCAATTGCTAATGAAGCACCACAAGAACTTATATTCTCCCTCCACCAAGAAAAGTCAGATTCTCCAGGAGAACTGTTGCAGAGTTGTAGGGACAAGTATTCAGAGAAGTAAACACACCTGTCTGGATTTACTCTGCTTTTCTGTAAGCACCATGTGTCCCCAGGCCTGCACTAGGCAGCAAGGAATGGGAAAGATCAGGTGCAGCCCTTCAACGCACACAGGGGAACAGTCAAGAGCAATTTCATGCTTGGAGTCGCTCAGGCATGTTGAGCTTTTCCTGCCTCCTCTCTTGGGGAGGCAATGGGAAGAGTTATTAGCAAAATCCTACCTCGACCCGCTGAAATCTACGTATTTCCTAGTCCAGATATTCCCAGAAGTTGAATAATCAAGGGAATACAAGAACTGCCCTTGAGCCTTTTGTCAGATAACAGTTTCTTCCTTCAGGTCATAAACTCCAAATACCCCAAAAGCCCCAAATACCTTGGCACTTGTTATTGACCCAAACGGTGAGAACTCCTTCCTCAGTTTTTCATCATCTATGGTGTCATCTAGGTTTTTAATGTACAGGTTCACTCCCTAGAACAGAAAGAACAAGTGTGTCAACAAGGAGAAATCTTGAGTACATTGACTGTTAAC